CATGAACCTATCATCAAACATCAGGATGAGATGACTATAGTTTTTTTGTTAGATCAGCCCAACAATCAAAATTCGTTCGAATAAGATCATTCCTTTTAGTCGAATTAATACTGTAATAGCATGTATTTTGATCTAAGAAAATAAAATTTTTTCAGGAGTTATTATAAGTCCAAATCACAAACTATCTTCGCTATAACATAGATATTGTAGTGATTTAATTATACTAATTTTTCTATAACTTTTGGGCACTGATGACTATCTTTAAGAAATTGATACTTTTCGATACATTTAAGATTTTGGGATTCCGTTTTGCAAAATGATATCATCAAAATTTTCTAAATAAAATGTGTTATTTTATGAATATTTTTTAAAGCACTAAAAAGATTTATATGAATTTTATACTAAAAATTAATTAATTTTATATTATTATTTATTTATGAATATCTTAAGCCATTTAAGTAACTTTATTAAAATTCATTTCCCTTATTCAATCGGCTAACAAGAAGGATTAGGGAAAAAATAGAAGAAAATAGAGGAGAGAGAAAAAAGAAGTTGAGATTTGGAGGTCTTAGAACATTTTTTGTCATTCGACCCTCTTGTAAGATTTGCTCGTCTTGTTGTAAGGAATCATTATCTTATTTCTGATTTCAATAATTTTATATTTTTGATTTTTTTTTCTATTAAATTTATATTTTTGTTATAAAAAATCGGATAATTTTGTATTTACAAAATTTTCACAGCGTAACTTTTTATATGTTAAAGATATTAAGATTATGAACAATTTGAGTATTATTTTAGATTTTTTTACCCAATAATTTTGAAAATGTATCATTTTTATTGATTCAAAAATTTATTTTGACATAAAAAATTAAGCTTTAGTTCAATTAAAGCTTCAAATATATACGATACCTAATAATTTAGTTAATTCTTAAAAATGTAAATTTCTACTCAGTAGGATTTTCTATTGTCTATCGTTAGAATATTTTGTTACTTTCTGGATTAAGTCTATTATGATTTATTTACTATAATTCATTGGTAATGAATGTGGATATCTCACTATTAATGTTATAGTACTATGACAATAATTTTATGTGTAAAAAATAAGTAAAGACTAATTAATATGTTGGTTAGAAATTGATTGATTAATTATACATGACGATGGACATACAGACTTTTCTTTAAATATTATGATTTGATATTATCCTATACTGATTCATGTGATACTGATTTGGAGTTATAATAAGAAGGTCTTACTATGCTGACGTGCAAAGAATGACGACTCTGTTTACTCAGCCAACATTTACTGATTATCGATTTCTGATTATTAAAAAAGACAGTGATAGTTAGAGCTTATTACTTGTTTAGTGTGACTACTGAAATGCATAATATTGAGACATTGTTACTATTATTGTATGAATTTATTATTACCGTATGGACTTATTATTACTGTATTATTTTATTGCTCCTACCACTGAGCAGTTATGCTAATGATATTGACAACAATATTGTTTGATACTATTGATTTACTATACTGATAGTAATCATGTTATATACTGAGCATATAATATACTAATTTGATACTGATATAAAATATATGGATAGTATATATGCACTCCTATATGATTTTACTATATTTATATGATTTCGACAATTTTTATCGATGCTTTAGTTTTACCGCTTTATACAGTTTCTTTACTAATCGAAAGTACAATACGATGACTGCTTTAATAATTTAACAATCATATTAGTTTACTGGTTTCTCTATTGTACTAATTTACTAGCTTTCATACTACACTGTTTTATTATTTATAAATTATACTGCTACTGCATGTGTGAGCTTTATTATTTATGCATATATTTATGATAATATAGTATTACTATTATGATTTGACTATTGACATGCATATTACTCATTTATCTTACTTTGAGTTTAGTTGTAGGATCTGGTTACTTGTTTGGCTCTTGAGCTTATTATATGTAGTTAAATGATTTCAGGTTAAGATGATGAAGCAAAAGTGAAAGATTGAGCAGAATCCTTCAGGTTAAGATTCTTGTTATTTTAGTTAGCTGAGTAGGCATAAATGTCTTATTCTTCTTTTATACTCAGAATATAATATTTATGATATTATATTGTATATATTATACATAGTGTATATAATTTTTAGGAAATGAATACATATATATTGATGTTTTGATTGATAGTTTGATTTCCGCTAGTATTAATATTTATAAAAGAAATTATATATCTCTGATTGTTATTTATTAAAAGATAAAATAATAATTCTTCCAATTTAGATTCTAGAACATCATAATTGTTATTAGGGCATAGCTATTGAAAGAATTGATTTGTTACAGAGTTGTAGAAATTAATTGAGAGTTGGATAGATTGGGTAGATTAAGATACATTATTTGTCATATATAATCGATTGCAAGTGTAAATTATTTAGATCAGATAAAATCATACAAAAGTGAATAGCTTCAACGAATATGCGTAAGCAAGATGTACCAAATGAGCAATACAGTGTAACTCTAGTGACATCAGACAATGTTATGCACTTGGTCACTATTATAGTATAGGTAATGGAGGATGAGCAGAGTAAGTAAACTGGAAGTAAAGAAGAAGAGGGAGACAATCACTTATATACATTACATAAGTTGAAGCCTTTGTTGTTTAAAGGAGCTATAGGACCTTAGGATGCAGAAGATTGATCATTGAAGATAGAAATTTTTTTACATGTAGTGCCTTGAGAATAGAAATGTTTAATTGGATGTGTTTCTCTTTGAAGGAGAGGTTGGGAGATGATGGGTTGGGTAATAGAGAGAAATTTATGGGGAAATTAAATGTTGAGATCACTTGGGATGAATTTATTATTGTATTCAGCATGAGATTTGTACCTCCTTTGGACCGACGATAGATGCATAAATCATTTATCATGATGGAGTAGGGACGCAAGATATTAATATAATATGAAATCGAGTTTAATTCCAACTGCTGAATAAAAGTGCTACATTTTTTACATAGCTCTAACAGAGAGCTGAGACATATGCTAGTACCTTTACGAATTTAGAAGTTTTTTGATTTGGTGGAGCGGGCCAGACTAATAAAGATTGATTTGGTAGTACCGATATTTAGTCATGATAAGAGCTCTAGGTACAATGTCAACAGGAGGGGAAAAGATGAACCAAACAAAAAGAAAGACAATGATAAGAAGAGCATGAATAGTGATTCAAGAGGATCTACATCAGTAGCATTTTCCAGTAGCTACGATAAGGGTATTCATTGTGGAAGGGGAATTCGGGTTAGTGCTACCTCTTGATGGGGCGATATTTTTGGTGTGGACAATAAGGACACCGGTATCAGATTATCGTCAAAGGAAATTTAGAGGAATGATTGATTCTAGTGCAAGGTAGTTGAGATAGACTGAACGACAGATGACTATAGGGTCAAGAACATATAGTGAAAGACCAACGAACATGGTAGATGATAGAGTTGTTAGTGGTAGTAAGAGAGAGATTGTTGCAACACGATCGACTCCACCTACTTTAGTAATACCACGTGTGTATAACTTGCATTATCTGGAAGACCAACAACAACCCGAGAGTTCTACTAGTAATAAATTTACTTTAAATGAATGAATGATTAACATTTCATTACATAAATGAATGATATATGATTATCTGAACTGTATGATTGTATGATAGTAATTGATTAACTTCGATGAGTTTTGATTTGATTTGATAGGATTTGATTAACTTAAATGAGTTTTGAATTTGATTTGATTCTTGTTATTTTAATTATTCTTTTGCATTCTAGACAGAGTAATTATGATCTGATTTATAGATCTTGAGTAGTGTATATGATTTTTGGGAAACGAATAATATATATATATATATATTACAAAAATATCAAAATAAATTCAATAATTTTAAAAACCATCTTAATACAATTGACAAAAAAATTTCCAACTAACAAGCCCTCAAAAACCTTCATTACAAGAACATATTATATATATCTACAATTAAACCACCAAATTTTTTTTTAAGAATACTGATTATTAAATCTTACATTGTCTGATTCAATATAAATTCGTAAACTATTAGAAACAATATTCGCAAAATATTAAAGGCGACAACAACTAAAGCCTTATGAGAGATTTTTGTGTGAGCATAATTTATTTATTTATATTTATGTTCTCTAGTATGTTTATTTAATATTATTTTTATAATATTTCATTAATATCATTATTAATTAATACTAGGAAAGCAACATTAAATAAGTATAATGAAGATCTAAAGCTAAGCTCATCAATTTATTACTTTTCTATAGATTTCAACGTCAAAATTTTATGAGTGCAAACTTTGGCTCCTATGTCATAATTCATGTGGTCCTAAGAATAATTTTCTATACTTTAGTGATTGCACGCCTTTGGCAAATTGCATTGTCATATATTATAGGCTTTAAAGGCCTATGTGGAGGATTAATCTTAAGCAAGTATAAATAATATTCTTAAATGCTAATTATGGAATTAAATCGTTGAGTTAAACTCAATTAATTAAAGTTCATTTGATTAGTTGAAGTTAAGTTTTTTTTAATGATGAAATTTATTGTATCTATCTTTTGATTGGATTGTATTAAAATTATAATGGAATTGAAACTCTATCAATAATCAATTACCAAAAGCTCCATAACTATAAAAAATTATATTAATTAAGCAAAGCACAAATTTTATTGTATGGAATCACACAGTGTCTAAGCAGTTTTGAATGCAACTTCACCTTTGAAATCTATGCCACAAAGCAGGAGTAATTATTAGGTCAGGTCACCGGACGCGTCCAGAGACCAATAATCACGTGTCACGTCACCTGGAACTCTGTATTGCTCGGTATACGTCCAGATTTTCAGTTTTTTATCCAGACATAATAATTACTCACAAAGCAGAGACCTCACTGACTAGCGTTCATATGGATTAAAATTTTATACTTCAGTATGCCATATTTTATGAAGTAGCAATCCTGTGAGTTACATATTATGTAACTCAATAAACAACTCATATTTCAAAAATATTATCTTGTCTCTCACATGTGACATATCGTAGGTAGCAGTAGCACTGACATGCGTAAAATATATCATGAAATAAAATACGAAAAATATCTCAAATATCTCTACTGTAAAACATAACAGTCCAGGGCCTAAGCTTTAGATTACCGTCTAATATCAGGAGTTGGCACAGAAATTGATTGCAAAAACTGGCTGAGCTCTTCAGCAACTGTTACTGGATACTCCTCTTGAGGGAGAAGGGCCCCTGGTACTTCCACAAACTTAGTCACACCCTTTGCACCTTCAAGTGCAGCAATCTCAGCTTTGGACCTCTTTGGTGCATTTTTGGTTGAAACAACTAGAATAGGTATCTTTCCATCTAACTTGGCAAATAGATCCAAGAATTCATCTCGAGTCTGGACTGGGTCGAGGAGGCCGGTCAAGAAAGCCGCCGGAACATATCGAGCACCTTTCCTCTTTGTCAGGGCATATCTGCTCTTGATTACAGTCGGAGTCACATTGTCAGGGTCAGCATAGACATGGGACTTATACTGGGATTCGATTGCTTTCTCATTGCTCACAAGCACATTGTACATCATCCAGCCCACTGCAGGGGCCCTTAGGGTTCCTCTAAGTAAGCCATATCTGTATATAAATTGATGAAAAATATTTAGGATAGCAGCACAAAGGGATCTGCATCTTGGACGTAGTAATAAACGCAGTGCGTGGTTATGTGCAGCTTAGAGCATCTCCAACTGAACTCTAAATGCTTGAATGGCGTTGCTCGCGAGCTCCAGCCGAACGGTAAAACTTCCGTTATTTGGTTGCGGGTGAAGAGTGGGACACCGATATTGGTGGCTGCACTATTCATCTCCGTTATTTTTCGGTCTCTATCGAACTTGCTGAAGAAACGCGTCAAAGAAGAGATCGGCAAAATGGAGTTTAGTTGGAGATGAATCACCGCATTTTTTAGTTTCACGGTATTTTGGAGTGAAAAAATAGATTTTCGATTGGAGATGTCCTTAATAATTATCCATTTTGTCATAGTGTTTTTTTTTTAGCTTTGAAACAAACGGTACAAATAAAGCCACCAGCTTCACTTAATTGAAGCGCACATAACAAAAAATTATATAATATTATGTTACTTCCTGGTCAGCATTGAAGGCAAAGGCTCCCCTTTTTTTTTTCTTATAACGAGTTGATAATAGAAGATCATTTAAAACTGAAAAGAAAATTCTACCTTGCACCTTCTCTTACCTTGATTCCATCTCAGAACTTCGACCAAAGACGATAGGAAGGGGACCTGACCATGTAGGAGCAACAGCTGCAATGGCCGATGGCTTGATCTGCCCCTTGCCAGCTGCACAAAGAGCTATAGTTGCTGCATGTCCTCCGCCAACAATGACCAAATCTTCATCTACTGAAATTAACATGTTCCAGAATAGATTAACAAGTTTCCATCATAATACTGAACAAGTTAAAAAGCAAAAGAATTACACACCAACTGCAAATGAACACAGAATTTAAGACTCCCAAAAAAAAAAATCTCAAATGGTGAGTAAAACATGACTAATTACAATAGCACTGCATTACAATAGAGTTATTTCAAGCTTTTGAAGTGCGTTTTTCTGGGATTCTAACTTTGGATCTCCACTTTGAAGGTCAAAGGAAATACCACCACCACATGGTTGGTGGTAATATGCACAATATCATAGTTCAGATTAGAAAGATGAAGGTGAGCGTTTCAAGTAGGAAGATTGAATTAGTGGTGAGGTAGAATAAAATAGTTATGGTGCATTTTATGAACTGAAGCTTTCCCAGACTTTCCACAATACTAAACTATAACATTCATCATTCATGTATTAAGCAATCAATACTGATAGGTTAAAAGCAAATGAATAATAGTTCGCTCAAATTTTCATAAATTTGATAAATACAGCGCCAGAGTCACATAACTCATGATACTAGGCATTTTTATGGAGCTTTCCATTACTAATTGATTACAAAGTTCTTCTGCCATAATCTATGGCTGCTGATAAGGTGTCTTATGTAAGGTTGGGTCGACCATCTCCTCTTACTAAGTAGATCAGGGACCATGACAGCCCGGGACGACGGAATCATGGGATCTTGATTGGACTCGCCTTCATTCCCCATCACCTGTTTTAAGTTTATGGTGATTAACTTAAAGTCTCAAACTACAAAATTCATATCCAAAATTCGAACCCTAAAACTGTTGATATTATACACTAGATTTACAACATCTACGACCTATTTAACGACTAGCCTTAATCGAAAGTTATCTCTCATTATCGAGAGGGGTAATTAACTATAGGGGATTGCGCCTATAGGAAACTTGAACTCAAATCACAAAGTTTTCACAAAATGTGGGCGAAATCTCTGAGTAATGTTTAATTCAAAACCCAATATGCCATATGAAAATTCACCCGGAACATAAATTTGTGATGGGAAACAGCCTGAAATAGTGGATAACAGAGCAGAGTTTCACTGAAATTTTGCTGTCAACAACAGTTTTTGCAAGAAATACTGGCGTAAACAATAGTTTCTGCCAAATCAGTGGGAAAATCAGGAAGAAAACACTTGAAATCCACTAGTACAAGAAGAAAAAAATAACAAGATATAATTGATCCTCTATTAGAGAGGAGGATCGATCTCTCCCAAATCTCTAGACGCCGCTAGAGCCCAAAGAAAACCTAAATCTAAGAGATCTAAAATTTCATCCAAATTCAAAATGCCCTAACTGATGAGGACATCTATAGACATTTTCTACATGTCTATCGGCGTAAGAATCGTAGATCGATATGGATACGATTCACGGTCTTTATTTTTTATGCATTTATATATTATGTTTGTTGCTAGTTCCGTTTGTACCCTTTTATTTGAGTCTATTAGAGTTGTAGCCCAAGCGCCATGTGTCTTTTTCTTTATTTTATTTCAAGTTTATATAATGAGGCCCCACCTATTGTAAGAGGATGATGAATGATTAATAAAAATTTTTCTTTGCTTCTTCTTCTTCTTGTGTGAGCACTAGAGAGAAGGGAGAGAGAGAGAGAGAGCTCAAAGTGAGTAACTACAAGGCCCATCAGTCGTTGGAAGAGTCCATGGCTCATGATTAGTTTAGTTCTATCTTATTTGTGTTTTCTTTCATCTTCCATTCCCCAATCCACCCGTCGGCCCCTTCCTGCCTCTCCACCACCATTTGTTTAACCTCCTCCACCCAATTCCTTCCCAACTCCACCACCTCAAGCTCCAACCGACGGCCCAACCCCTCTCCCCCCTACCCGGCCCCAAAACCTCCCCACTTTCCCCTTGCCGCCGCCCCTCACATGGCCTTCCCACCACTATGATGATTCCAAACATCATCATGGCTCCCTTGATTGAGTCAAGCAAGATAGGAAGGTTTTCAATTATTTGAAATACAAATTTGAATTTAAAAAACTTTCCTAATTTGCAACGTTCCAAATCAGGAAAGTTTTAAATCTCACTCTTATTTAAATTTAAATTAGAGAGGACTGTTTATTCTCTTTCCTATTTGGCAAACCTCATTTGGAAACTACATTAAAATCCTCCCCATACTCCTCTCATGATGCCGCCGGCCTACCCATTAATGGGCTTATTACCATTGCTTCCTATTAAGGTTTCATCCCACTTTAATTTGAATTCAAAATTCAAATTAAATCCCGCCAAATCCATTTAAAAATCTAAAATTAATTTCAGATCTTGATTAAATTTCCTCTCCCCTCTTCTAACCTAATCCAAGCCCTCACCAAAACCGCCCCTTCCCCTCTCCCCACTTTGGCTGCCCCCTTTCCCTTGCATCCCCTCTCTTGGGAAACCCTAATTTGCTCATGAGACTTGAAGCCAAGAGAAGAAGGCGACCTCCTCTCCCAACCTCATCGTCATCGGTGCATGGCAGATCCTGAGGTCAATTACGGCTTCGCCTACAACGCCCGAGGGGAAATTGACATTCTCTGCTCCCTTTCTACGAGCATGACTGGGAGTACGACGAATCGGTGGAAGAGTACATCCATCTCATCCTCTACTATTTAGCGGAGACGATTGATCTTGAAAACTTGGTTAATCATTGGTCACCCGCCGCTTCCTCCACTGCCGGCTACTTCTCCATCAACGAAGGTCTTCGGTGCCATCTTCCTAGTGGTAATCTCCGTCCTTGTATGGTTCGTTTTTCTCCGCTAAAGCCTAAGAGTGAGAAGGTGCTCAAGGTGAACTACTCATTATTAAGTGTTGAGTTTTGTTATGAGCATGTAACATTCACTATTGTCTTCGGATTTTTGATTAAATTGTTTGGCTAATCTCAAAAGCACTTCTTTGCCTAAGCAAGTTAAAATTTTGAATTACGAAATCTATCTTTATTGCAAGCAATAATTCTATATAGACACATTTGTTCAATTGATCCTTATAATTTCTCAAGTAACTCCTACAAGTTTCACATCACTAACCCTAGGGAAAAAATTATTTAATGTATACAAATAAAAAAGAAATCCCTAAACAGTCCCTACTCCCTACATTTAAATTTCCCTCTCAAATCCCTCAAAATTCCTTCCAAAATTGCTCTTTGGAATCATTCGGCTTGTGCGGCTTGTACACAAGGTGGAACCTGCGCCTCAGTTTGTAAGAGCCGGTCCCATGTGGACAGGCTGGACCGATCTAGCAATGCTCCCATTCCAAAGATCCACCTTGTCCGCAAGGTGGAAAGAAGACACCCACTCCATTCATTCTTCATCACAAACGGTAAGACCCTGAAGAGTTCGATCGTTACACCTGTGCCTTGGCATATACCTCTCATCACATCTGAAACATATCCCCTTCACTCTCTTCTCATGTAATTATGTTTCTGTGAGCTTCTCAAAGTTGTCTTGAGGGATTCCTCCGACAGTCTTCTCCTTTGGAATCTCCCTAAGAGTACCCGGTGTTGGCTCCTCGGGTGCCAAAAAGGTTGTGGTCATCTTGTATGAGCCTCGCGAACTGCTGCCTCCTGCTCCTTTTTCCAGGTGCCTCTGATCCTCCACCAATTGAGTTAGCTCCATAAACTCTCCCACTATGATGCACCGACACTGCACTTAGAGAGGGTATGCAGTGCCGAACACATGTCGGACACGGACACGCGTCGGACACGGCATGGACACGTGTTCGACACGGCATTGGAGTGTCGCAATTAAAAAAATTAAAATTAAAATCGGACACGCGTGTCCGATTATTAAATGAGATATCGTTAGGTACATGCTCGGTACCGCTAAGTACGAGCTCGGTACCGCTCAGTACATGCTCGGTATTGCTCAGTACATGTTTGGTATTGCTCAATATATGCTCGGTACAGCTCAATACATGCTCGGTACCACTCAGTACATGCTCGACACGCGTGTCCGATTATTAAATGAGGTATCGCTAGGTACATGCTCGGTACCGCTAAGTACATGCTCAGTATCGCTCAGTAAATGCTCGGTACTGCTTAGTACATGCTCGATATTGCTCAGTACATGCTCGGTATTGCTCAGTATATGCTCGGTATCGCTCAGTACATGCTCGATACCGCTCAGTACATGCTCGGTACCGCTTAGTACATGCTCGATATTGCTCAGTACATGCTCGGTACCGCTCAGTACATGCTCAGTATTGTTTAATATATGCTTGGTACATGCTCGATACTGCTAGGTACATGCTCGATACCGCTCAGTACATGCTCGGTACTGCTCAATATATGCTCGGTACCGCTTGGTACATGCTAGGTACATGCTCGGTACCGCTCAGTACCGCTAGGTACATGTTCGGTATTGCTAGATATATGCTCGGTACATGCTTACGAACTTTAAAAACAAGCAGAACTTCAAAATTACTCTTACAATAAAATTTTGTTCCGAGGGCGCTGCCCCCGGAAAGCCCCACAAGTCGAACCCCGCCAGGGGGCAGCGCCCCCTTGGACCCCCGACAGACTAGTATATTGTTGTATTCATGTTGTCTTAATATTGGGATATTTTGATTTCACTTCATATCAATTTAATTTTGTGTATTCATATGTATGATTGGTTTGTTAGCAAAATGAGCTCTGCTACTAGCGAGGGTGGATTATGTGAAGGTTCAAAAGAGCCATCTGTCCACGTCGTGTCCATGTCCTATATTTTTAAAAATTATTATATATTATATTAAAAAAATATTATGTCGTGTCCACGCCGCACCCGTGTCCTATATTTTTAAAAATTGCCGTGTCCCGTGTCCGTGTCGTGCGTGTCCGTGTCGCCGTGTCCGTGTCGGTGCATCATAGCTCTCCCAAGTCCCGAGGTCTCATCACTCTGACTGTTGCGCAGATCTTTGGTCTCAGTCCCTTCATAAAGTTCCCCTCCAGTACAGACTCTAGAAGCCGATCCAATTGATTGGCAAGGTATTTAAATTGCTCACAGTACTCCATCATTGTCCCCTCCTGCATCAAAGCGAAGAACTGCTCATAGAAGTCCCCTCCCCTGCTGGTTTGAAAACTTTCCAACAGGTAGACCTTAAACTCCCTTCAGGTCCTTATTGGTCGCCTCATATCCCTCCACTGGTACCATACTAAAGCTTTCCCTTCCAAGCACATCCTGGCTGTCATCAGTCTCTCCCCTTTCATCAACCTGTTGACGGTAAAGTACCTTTTCACATTGTACAGCCACCCATGGGCATCCTCTCCCTCAAAAATAGGCATCTTCAGCTTCCTCACCCTCAGATCACCTCCGTTCTCTCTGTTTCCTTAATAATTTCTTCATTCCCAAGGGGGTGGTTTCCCCCAAGTGTCCCAATCATCCCTTCTACGTTTATACCCAAGCCTTTCATCAAATTCCCACATTCTCCTTTCAAATTCTGCATCCCTTGTATCATAACAAACCCCTCCCCATTCAGATGCAATCCCCCTTTGGACATAATTACTCCTTTTCTTTTCAAATTTGTCACCTCTTTGATCATAATCAAGTCTACGTCTTTCCAATTCAACCCCTCTTCTTTCGAATTCAACATCCCTCCACTCATGTCCAACACCCTCACATCTCTCCACATACCCTTTATTGGACTATCGGACTCCTCCCTAGGAATAGGTCCTAAGGGAGGCATTTTTTCTGTTCCCTCCAAAATCTCTACCTCTTGATATTCCTTTTGTCTGGTTAGCTTCGAATTTTTCCCACTTCCGTTGTTGTCGGCGTCTTCCCTCACCTCCGACGGCAATATTTTGGATTAGCCCTCGAGCACTTTTTTCAACATCTTCTCCATGATGAAAAATTTTGAATCGAACTTATCATGGATGACTGAAACATCTTTTTTTAAATATGAAACTTGAGTTTGGAGATATGAAATTATAGATTTCATTTGTCCAATCTCCACTTCGAGGCGTTCCACCAACGCATCCATTTTCTTGGCCTCCATTGATCCCCAGATTTTTGTAGAAATAAAAATCTGGACTTCGACCTTCAAAAACATCAACTTTCTTCTTCAAAATCCCAAGAACAACCTCTGAAATTCACCCAAACAGCCCACCTAAGGTCCCAAAAACGAATATGATACCAATTTGATAGGAAACAACCTGAAATTGTGGATAACAGAGCATAGTTTCATTGAAATTTTGCCGTCAACAACATTTTTTGCCAGAAATCCTGCTGTAAACAACAGTTTTTGCCAAACCAATGGAAAAATCAGGAAGAAAACACTTGAAATTCAAAGGTAGAAGACTAAAAAAATAGCAAGATACAATTGATCCTCTATTCGAGAGGAGGATCGATCTCTCCCAAATCTCTAGATGCCGCTAGAGGACAAAGAAAATCTAAACCTAAGATATCTCAAATTTCAGCCAAATTCAAGATGCCCTAACCCTAGGAAAACAAACTATTTAATGCATACAAATCAAAAGGAAATCCCTAAACAGTCCCTACATTCAAATTTCCCTCTCAAATCCCTCAAAATTCCTTCCAAAACTACTCTTTGGAACCGGTCGGCTTGTACAAGAGACGGAACCTCCGCCTCAGTTCGCAAGAGCCGGTCCCATGTGGACCGATCTAACAGCTTGCTAAAACTCATTGTTGTCATTAAAAAAAAGGAGACGGTGTGGATTGGTTGGAGTACGAGAATTTTCGAAGCCCACACTAATATATGGTTCTCTTTTAATGGCCAACATTTTGCACCATAATAGTTTGAGAGGGACTTTTCTATCACATAATAAGCCTAACGCATTCCTCCACTTCAACCATCCAACTTGAATTCTACTAATAATATACCCATCTATTTCACCATCACTCTTAACAATAGACACAAGATACTAAAACATGTACTCTTATTAATGACTTGATCACCCAAAGTTATAATCCCCCACTAGATCTATTATTACTAAAATTACACTTCATATATTTAATTTTAGATCTACTAAAACGAAAGCCTTTAGATACTAAGGTTAACCTCCATCATTCAAGTGTAACTTAAACTCCCTCTCTAGTCCTATCAATAAGAAAAATATCATTAGCAAAAAGCATACGGGAGAAGCTCTCGTCTGATGAAAAACATCAGGTTTTCAAAACAACAATGGAAGGAAGTGCCGTGGGTTTGAAGGTGAACGAAGAGTTTTCGAACATCGAACATTGAGGTCTCAAATTGAACAGGGAATAGGCATGGGCGGAACCACATGGTTCCTCCCTCAAAAAAAAAAAAAAAATTTAGAGAGTAAAAAAAAAAATTATAGGAGAGTAAAAAAATTTTTTTGCCCCCCCTAAAAATTTTTTTTGTCCTAACTTGCCCTAAAATATCTATATATTTCTTTACATTTAATTCTAATATTCTCTTTCAAAATTTTTATGACAGTTTAATTACATCTTTTTTTAATTTTTCTTGCTTAATTTTTTTTTTAAATTTTTTCGTAATATATAGATATATAATATTATTTTTGAGCTGTATTTGCCCCCCCTCAAAATTGAAGCTGGTTCCGCCCCTGGGAATAGGTATACAGGAGAAGCTCTCGTATGATAAAAAAGAAAGAAGAGACGAGGTTTACCCCGCTCTCATTTTAACGATGCGGTGAGCCACATTTTAAATGAGGTTTACTGATTTTATGGGAAGTGATCGCGAAACAGAGCAGCCGGATGTCCTGGGAATTAACAAAGATATGAGATCAATGTATCCAAGGTAATTAATATAGATTTAATTTAGTGTTAGTTTTAACTTTTAATTTAATTATATTATTATTTGAAATGACATGTATGCATCAATTACCAAAAATCACCATGATATGCGCACAATTCCCTCTATTTGTGCTCAATTGCCTCAATCTCCACGTCGATTTCCTAGCATGACTTTATTTGAACAAATTGATAGTCATTCTTGAGTATTGACAATGCTCTAAACGCAATGACAGAGTCCGTTTTGCGGTTGGACGTCGTTCGGGCAATATCGCATGTCAAGTTTCTCGATTTATATGTCTTTTCCTCGGAATACGAGCTGATTTCCCTGCGTGATTTTATTTTAACAAATTTATGACCATTTTTTAAGTATTGACGACGTTCCGAATGCAACAGTGAAGTTCGTTTTGCTATCGGACATCATTTAAGCAACGTCGTGCATCAATTTCGGGTGTTGGTCGTCCCTTTTGATTGATTTCGTTCGATTTGACTGCAAGGGGCTCCCTCTTAGGTGAATTCGACATTCCAATTGCGACGGCGCAATCCGTTTGACGATCGGAGGTCGTTTGACCCTTCAAGTGATGCGTAGCATGTCAATTTTCACCCTTTTTGTGTGTTTTCACGTATAGGGGTTAACATAATCATGCACAAAGATCCCGCTTGTAAGAGTCACACACACTTGAACTTTGCACAACTATGGTGGAAGGGCGACCAAGATTCATAGAGCTATAAACAACATGAACCATTCGATCCCAATTGAATATTGCTCCAATACAACTTGTTAGGGAGAACGAAATCATATGTGGACACAATTAAGCTAGAAACACCAATGGTCAAGCCTATTTTCAACCAAAAGCTTAAGTCTATAAGTGTGGGTCAATCACTAAGCATTTCTACAATAAATTAATAATATGATAATGGGACTAAACCCAAAGTTTAACGTGCAATAACATAGAGCCTCTTTGATTCATTTTTTAACTCAAAATTTTGTTTGATCTTTAAACTTTTGACTAATTTCTTGCCTGGAAACTACAACTATGAAATTTGAAGGTTTTATACAGGTGAAATTTTGATTTTGGAGGAACATCTAATTCACAACCCCAAAGAAGTTAACATTGATGCCTAGAGAATAATCATGCCTTGAAGTTTCCCAAGGCAAAGTATTCTTGGATCTACAAGCCAATACATCAATAATAAGGGAACTATTGGGATTTTAAAAATTATATTTAATAAATAATTTAATTAAAAATTGAATAAAATACCTCTTGATTTAACATTATTAACAACAAAATTTGATGTTAAGACAAAAAAGTCCATTTTTAAGGACAAAGAGTTGGGGACCATTTTGGTCCCTCACAAAAAATTTAGGGAACATTTTGGTTATTTTCTCATTTTTGAAATAATGCATGAATCTCAATAAGATTAGAAGGATTAAATCAGTGTTTTATTTACACCCAAAAAAAAAAAAAAAAAAAAAAAAAAAAAAAAAAGGGCTCAAAAAAAAAAAAAACAGAAACCAAATGAGCTCAAAATGACATGAAAACTTTATAAAAAGGATCAATTTGCAAAGAATTTGCGGGAAAAAAAATTGTCTAGTTCATACAACCAAATGATCCAAATTGGTCAAATCGAACATGCAGGATTGACAAAAAATTGCCAACCCAATCCTATTTCCCTCTCATGCGAATAAAGCACAAGTAAAACTTATATAACAATTCTAGCTAATAACCAAGGGGAAAGAGAAAGTAGAAAAAATCTTTGACTCACCATCATGTGAAATACCACTGAATTAATACAACTACATATCACAAAAAAAAAAATTCTCACCTGAATTTCTCAAAGGACTATCTGCTGCATTCACGATCTGAGTTAAGAAGTTCTCCATCACATCAGCATTGTAATTTAGCAATGGCCTCTCTGAATCACCCAAACCAGGCCAATCAACGATAGTAGCACGCCACTTGACATTTCCTTTCCTTGCAACAATATCTTTTGCAACAACCCTCCATTCCTCAACAGTGCTAACATCTGATATTGTAGGAATCATAAGGATCCTCTTTTCATTGGCACTGTTTTCTTCCCTGTGTTCCTCATAGTTGATATTAATGGTTGTACCTTGAAATCTCCACCGCCAATTTCCAGACTAAAATAATAAAAAGTTTCAATACTTGTAATAAAGTATTTATGTTCCAAAACAAAAGAAAAAAATAATGAATCAAGAACTTGGTCAACAATTTATTCTATGCTGCTCCTCCTTTATTCAACCAAATGCTTGGATGAGTGATAAAATTGAAGTAGTTAAGAAATAAAACAAAACTATTCTCTATGTACTTTAGGACAGTAACAAGAATTCTATCATTGGTTGAATATATGATTACAAATACTGAAATACATCTGGCTTTACCACCCTCAAACTATAGGCATCACTCAAGCTAGCGTGAGAGAAATTTGAACTTCAAATGCCTACATATCTTAGGAATCATAAATGGTTAAAATGGTATATCCATACATAATATTATGCAACAATACTGCACGCTATACTTCCCTAACATAATGGAAACTCACTAATACATACTATTGGCATCACTCAAGCTAGCATGAGAGAAATTTGAACTTCAAATGATTACATATCTTAGGAATCATGAATGGTTAAAATGTTATATCTATACATAATATTATGCAACAATACTGCACGCTATACTTCCCTAATATAATGGAAAACTAATGCAAAAGTTCAAGACTTTCAGAATTAAGAATATGAAAAATAGAATTAGATTCCGTATTGGATTCAAACTACGGCACATATACCTTCTTCATAAAACATGGTCCCAAGACATCTACTACATCAATAAAACCTAATTAAACTTTCACTTCTGCATCAAAAGCATAACAGGTTCCAACAAATTAGTAATTCCACAGCTAAGTTTAGCAGTAGAACAACAGCTGGTGGCAGCTTAGATCAACATCAGACCACAAAAGTTTCAAGCATACAGATTTATACAAAGTAAACGAGTTCCATAGACTAAGCAATTGACCACAAGCCACACAGCAACCTCATCAAACTAATCTTCGGATTAATTTCCATAACGGACGAAATTTCAAATGTGATAAGCATAACGTGCATAAAAAATTGAATCTCCTCACCTTCGTTGAGATCAAGGGCTTCTCCGTAACCGCAGTTGATTTAGAGGGATCCACAGACGAAGAAACGCAACGGACTTTGACGCGATTTCCCAGCTGAGAACAGGAGAAGCGAGGTGCAAAGGAAATGGAAGATCGAGAAAACTTCGCAGGGCAGGGAGAGATGTACATAGCAGCTGCGAGCGCCATGGATGACCGCAATCTAGGGTTTGATTCTTAACAGCCTCGTAGAGATGGAAGTTGTGGACTTGGCGAGCTTCATTTCAACGGCGTGTCCCTCTTTTTTTTTTTTTTTTTTTTAATTTCTTCGTCAAATTTCCCGATTCCAACTACTACCGATCTGGGTATTTATTCAATTCTTTGTGGGAACCTAAGGAGGCATCTATCAGCATCAGGCTCATATTTATTTTGCTCCACTGAAGAGTAGAGATTGTAGTAGAAGGGATTTAAATTCGGGATTGAGGTTTCCAACCGTGCTCTCCCACCAATCACCCTAAGCCTCTGTGGGTTGATATGGAGATTATTATTATTATTATTATTATTAAATTATGGAATTTTTTTGGGACATTTAGGTCAGTTAAGATAGACTTACACACACAATACATACATAACATTCGAACTCAAGACCTTTTAGTTGATAGCCTAAGCTCCCAACCAACCAAGATCAGTTGTGTAATTACGAAATTTCAACCTAAGCGTTATATGTTCAGATTACTCATTTAAAATATCTGATTTTAGTTATAATTAATTTCTAAGGTTTCATTTAGAACAACTTTAGATCATTATTTTTTTTCTTATTTTCAAAAAAAAATTGTATTGAAAAACAATTTTGAAAAGCAATAAGAAAGCTATTTCAAACGAAGCCTCATTTTGATTGTTTTCGGTATAGTTATTGATTCTGTGTGGAGTATGATTCTATGGATTAAAACTTATTTACAGATATTTTTAAGACTTTATTTACAATTCAAGAATAATTTTAAGTTTGAGAGATTATTCTGTGAGCATTGTTCGGAGACCAATCAGTATACGTGATGCATCGTGGATCTTCGACTGGAGCGGACGTGACGAAGGCCGGCGACGAATAACCTGCAATGATTTTAGCGGAAGAAACAAGAGGAAGAAAATAGAGAAAGAGAAGAAAGGGAGGAAGACAGCCAAGCTGCTGTATGTATTTTCTGGTTGTAAAATTCTCTGTCTACAATTCCTTTTTCCTCTCCACTAAGTAGCTCCTTGAGCTGTACTAAAAAGGGTGTAACAAACTAAAAGGTAATATTAGTACTATGCTGTAGAAAATAGAAACTAAGTAGTGGCTAATGCTATAGTCTGTTACAGAAGATAAGTTGTCCGGTATGACCTGGGTGTAAACATGCTCCGCATCAGCTCTCCCCCGGCTCGGAAGAGCTAGACTCCGACAAGCTAATGGTAATCACTCCGTCATCCGGAGGCGTATATGGCCAAATGTCCGAGACATTGAAGGTTGGCGAAGTATTGCAGTCATTCGGGAGGGCGACGGTGTACGCATTATCATTAATCTTGGCAATAATAGGTATCGGCCCCAGCTTGCGGCGAGATAGCTTAGAGTAAGTACCCGGTGTGAAACGTTCTCGTCGCAAGCGTACCAACACTAGATCCCCAACATTGAACACGCGACGTCTGTGGTGAGCGTCTGCGGCAGCCTTATAATGCTGGTTGGATGTAATAATTTGTTGGCGAACCTCAGTGAGCATATCGGCGAAATTATCCACAAAAGAGGTTGCTGCCACTGATTTACACTTGGGAAGAATATAAATGTCGAGGGAAATATTAGGAGATTTAGTAAAAACAATACTAAATGGAGTTTTACCGGTGGTGCAATTAGTCATAGAATTGTAAGCAAACTCGGCTTTGCCTAGAACCTCCCATTGCCTCGGATGTTCTTGTACTAAGCATCTCAACATAGTCACCAATGTGCGATTAACCACCTATGTCTGACCATCAGATTGTGGGTGGTATGCCGAGCTTAATCGAATTTCCGTCCCCAAACGTTTCCAGAGTTCGCGCCAAAAGTGGCTAATGAACTTGATGTCACGGTCAGAAGTGAGACTACGTGGAAGGCCATGAAGGCGGACAATCTCTTGGAAGAAAAGGTGAGCTATAAGCATAGCATTCACAATCTTCTTACAAGAGATAAAATGTTCCATCTTCGAGAATCTATCAACGACCACCATGATTGAATCATTTCCCCTCTTGGTCCTCGGCAATCCCAGCACAAAATCTAAACTCATATCCTCCCAAATGGAATCCGGGACGGGTAGAGGCATATATAAGCCAGTGTTCTGATTTCTGCCTTTGTACATTTGACAAACGGGGTAGCTGTCTACAAAACGAATGACATCTCGGTGCAGTCGAGGCCAGAAGAATCTCACATGGAGCTGACGAAGAGTGTTGTCCCGACCGGCGTGAGCTGTGAGAGCGCCTCCATGAGCTTCTCGGACTAACTGTTGCCTCCATGACGAGACGGGGATGCACAATAGATTTTTCTTGAAGAGGTATCCATGGCGCACGGAATACTCGTCAATACATTGATCAGTTTGACACTGCTTCCAGATTTCCCCGAACTCCGGGTCTTCTTCATAGAGATCCTTTAGGCAATCTAGACCGGTGATCTGGGTTTGTAATTGCACTAGTAAGCTGCGATTTCGGCTCAATGCATCGGCAACTCTGTTGATAACACCAGGTTTATGCCTTATTGAAAAGGAATACCGTTGTAAGAACATTAGCCATCGGGCATGCATACGATTGATGTTCATTTGGCTGTTGATATAAGAGAGAGCCTTGTTGTCGCTACAGAGGATGAAGTCCTGGTGGAGTAAGTATTGCTCCCATTATTTCATGGCGCGAACAATGGCATAGAGCTCTTGCTCGTAGGCTGCCCACTTCTGTCGTGTTGGAGATAATTTCTCGCTGAAGAATGCTACAGGTCTTTCGGTCTGTGACAGAACATCGCCTACACCAATGGATGAGGCGTCGGTATCCACCATAAACAACTTGTCAAAGTCCGGAAGTGCCAAAACAGGGGCTGAGCTAATACAGATTTTGATTTTGTCGAATGCTTGCTGCTGTTCTTCGGTCCAATGGAAAACTTTGGATTTGAGGCCATCAGTGATAGGTGCCATTATCAGACTGAAGTTTTTGATAAATTTTTGGTAAAAATTCACCAAACCGTGAAAACTTCGGACGTCGGAGAAAGTCTGTAGTATTGTCCAGTCGGTTATGGCTAATATTTTATGCAGGTCCATTAGAATACCATCAGCCGAGAGGACAAATCCAAGGAAATAGACTTGCGATATGCCCAATTCGCACTTTGGAAGGTTGATGAATAACCGTTGCTGCTTGAGTACATCAAAGAGGGATGTTAAATGATTCAGGTGGGATTGCCATGAGGTGCTATAGACGAGTATATCGTCAAAATACACAATGCAGAATTTGCCCAAAAACGGCTTCAATATTTCATTCATCATCCTCATGAAGTTCGACGGAGCATTAGAGAGGCCGAAAGGCATGACCTTCCACTCGTATAATCCTTGCAGTGTATTGAAGGCCGTTTTCCATTCGTCGCCGGGACGAATGCGAATTTGGTGATAGCCACTCCTGAGGTCCAATTTTGAGAAAATGGAAGATCTTGAGAGCTGATCTATTAACTCGTCAATCCAGGGCACGGGAAATCCGTATTTAATCGTTATTTTATTGATGGCCCTACTGTCTACACACATTCACCAATTGCCGTCTTTCTTCGGTATGAGTAGTGCTGGCACGGCACAAGGACTCATACTAGGCTGTATCAGCTGTTTTTCAATCAAATAATCGACTAAGCCCTGAAGTATCTGCTGCTCTTTAGGATTCAAACGGTAGTGCGACAAGTTAGGGAGGCTGGACCTGGGGATGAAGTCGACGCAGTGCTGAATGTCCCGCAAGGGTGGAAGCTCAGCTGGGAGTTCATCCGGAATGATCTCTTTATAATGCAGTAAGAGCTGAGAGATATCTTTGTTGGTGTTGTCAGTTGTGATTCCTGATGCAACTTCGGTAACCAGAAGGGCATATAGTGGGGCAGGTTCACGCCAGCACTGTAGCAGTTGGCGGCCCGTAAACAAATGCATAGCTGCCTGTTTAGCTTGAGCTGGCCGTGAAGTTTTGTCTTCAGCACAATGGGGTAGCAACCTTAACCGCCTTCCTTTATAATCCAGGGAATAGATGTTGGCTCGGCAATCATAGATGGCGCCCGCATCAAATTGCCATGGCCTGCCTAATATCAGATGACAGACGTCCATATCCAAAACGTCACAGACGACCTCGCAAATGTACTGTTTGCCAATAGAGAATGTCACTTTGCACGAATCAATGACCACAATTTCCATGCCTTTCTTTACCCAAGTTATCCTATATGGGTTTGAATTCTTGATAGTTTTTAGCTGGAGGCTTTGTACCACTGCCCTGGAGATCACATTTTCAGTGCACCCACTGTCAATGAGAAGGTCACACACTTTGTCGCTAATGGTGCAATGCGTCCGAAAAAGAGCATGCCGTTGGGAATTCATGTTCTGCCTTGGGGCCAGCAAAAGTTTCTCGATAATGCATATTAACGGCTCCCCTTCATCAGTGACCACATCATCTGCTTCGTCTACTTCCACATTCCCGTGATCATCCCCATCTGATCCTTCCGCTAGGTGTGCTTGTTGCCGCTGTGGGCATTCGTTGGACTTATGTCCAGGTTGAAAGCAACGAAAATACTTGAGTGTTGAAGGTTTAGCATAAGGATTGTCCTTACCTTGAGGTCTTGGTTTCACAGGCTGTCGGGGATCAGTGGTAGTGTTCGCAGGAACCGATGTGGGTGTCGGTAAGAGAAGGGGTTGGGGTGCCCTTACTGAATGAGATGGTATTTTACTTGTCCCGCTAGCAGGTTCTTGCCACTAACGACGGAGTGTATTTGATTTTGATTGCCTGTTCTGCTGCATTTCGACCTTGAAAGATAGAATGACAGTTTGCGGTAAGGACCATACAACATTTATTTCCAATTTATCTTGGATGCTGTCCTTGAGGCCGCCTATGTATCTTGCCACAACCTGAGTGGTGGATTCATTTAAGTTGTTCCGGGCACTCAATGCATTGAACTCCTCCGTGTACTCGCTTATAGAACGGTTTCCCTGTGCACAATGCTGATACCTCATGTAAAAGATCTACTCAAAATCTGTAGGTAAGAATTGAGCTCGGAGTAACTGCTTCATGCGGTGCCACCCACGAACCC